ACATACTGGTAATTTATACACCTGTTTTAACTGTACACTGTCTCTAACAAGGGTACTTCACTTAAATACTTCTTTACTGCAACCAAACCACATTTTATATGTTGACATAACCAAGATTTACACATTCAAACAGGTTTACTTCACATAAATTAAAAATCTCATTCAGCATGAATAAACATTTTTTATTTTGAAATTTCATTGAAAAATAATCAAATTTCAACACATCTTTGTGTAATTTTAAGGAGATGTTCATGTACATTTCTAAAAAGAATATGCATGTATACTGCAATAAACCCTTATGACTGTAGAGCAAATAGCAGAAGCAATCTGCAAAATTACATCACACAAGGACAGGAAACAAAAAAGAACCACCTGGACAAAGCTTAAGTTTATTATACTAGAGTGACATTTCAATAGTTCAGAATTCTTCTGCTCTGAAATTCAAAACTGTCATATGAATGATTCAATGGTGAGACACATTTCTATTACTTAATGAGGAAAGCTTGTAGTGTATAAGGTATACTGATTAGTAACAACTAGTACCTTGTCTCCCAATGGATCTTGCACATTCTCCCTCTGAACAATAAAAGGCTAAATGATTCAGAAATATTGATTTTAAAAAGGGTGTAAGAAAAGAGATGATTTTGATACTGTGGTAGATAGGTAGTAGTTTATGGTACCAGGTACTAGTTTTAGTGTAGGTGTTTAGATACTGTTACACCCTTACCAATAACATCTTAAACATTCAGTCTATTTCTCATTTAACTGCTTGACTTCAAAAGTTTCTACAGTGTTATAGGGGTGGTCACTATATATTCTGAGATATCTGTATATACATTGAGAATATAGTCATAAAACACTTTCAAAATGAAAAAATTGGTATCATGTTCATCTGTAGTCAATTCTTGACTTCAATTTCTATTATTATTTTTTTTTCAAGAGAACTATATTCCTTCAAAATAAACTTTGCGGCATGAATATGTTTATATACAATGTTTGTGATTCATAATTAATTTTTTTTTTTAAAACAACAGCTCAATTCTAGGTGATTGCATTACTTTCAATTGAAAATTTGACTTAAGGTTTATCTGAAATTTAATCAATTTTAATTGCTATACAATGAAAATTAAATCTTATCCTGGAGTTCTCCTTTTTTATTTGAAGAATATATCTTTCTTTTTAAAAAAAATGTTCGCTGCAAAAAAAACCAAAACACCTTGCTATATTTTTTATGCAATGTTTATGAGTTTTATATAATGTGTAAGTATTAATCATGTTATAAAACAATTGTTACATGATAGACAAAAACATCTAATATATCACAGTTTCCTTTTATTAAGGAAATATTTAGGTTCTTTATAATTTTATAAATAAGTAGAATGCCAGACAAATAATTTAAAGCTGTTTTTCTGATCCAGTTTCAATGGTTAGTTTTACTCTTTCTAACGTTTTGAACACATAAAGTCAGAAAATAACATATAACTTCAATATTCTGTATGACATAATATGATGTTCTTACTTTATTTTAGATCATTATGAAATTAAAACAAAAATTAGCACTAAACTTTTCAAATTATCAGATCAAACAGTTATTGTCCTCGAATATTCAACTTGACGAATATGCAAAACATTTAGAAATACAATTGTATCATACACCCAGGTGTCCTATTTTACCAGTCAAGTACTTGTCCATTGATATTTTTGTATTATTTTACAGTGTAAGAAGATTGGGTAGTAGAAGAAGTAGTTTACCTACTGATATGAGCATTAACAACAGGTAAATCACATTAAATCAATTAATTTTCTGCACAAACTTGCATTCTCTTTTCACGTCTGTCGTAGGGTCAATGAGATGTGCAACCTAAAGATCACAAAATTTCACTTGAAAGACTAAATGTTGCGTCCATGTGACTCTTACAACAAACACATCATACAAACTTCAAGGGCAAGATCATGGAAGTTGATGAGGAAAACCTCTCCAATTCCATTCTATGATTTTTATATGACATCCTGCCGTTGAATATTTGCAACTGAAAATAGATGCCTTGTAAATCATTTAGCCCCTTTCTTGACTTTGGAGACTTAAAAAGTGTCAAGAAAAGCTAACATGGAAAAAATATTGTGAAAGGTTACATGTAGGCCCAAGTTAGTTAGAGAGACCGCAATACTGCCACTTAATAGTGTATAAATATGGTGTCTGCGTTATGCAAACTTTTTTTTTTGTCAGGACAGGCCTAGCATTATTTATGCTAACAGAGATTTTTGCTGATTCACTCTAGAGTAAGAAGTGATGAACATTATACATACTTCATTTTTAATTTTACATGTTATAATAAGCATGTTTTTTTCTTTTCAGATTTGATCCTTTTCAACTGTTTGAGGTAATTATAAATAGCTTAATATTAAAACTACCATCATAAATAAGTAGGAAGTTTGATGAAAAACTTGAACCTTGATATAATTTTGATGATTTGTAAAACTGACTGACTTGATTAGTTAAATTATAAAATTGAAATCTTTCCAGAACTAAAAAAAAACAGTTGTAGAGTAGTTCCTCATTATCGATAATAGCTCATATTTCACAAACTTTCATAGATAAGAATAAACAACATTATCAGTTATTCTCTTTTTAAAAATGTAAAAACTTACTATAGTCTCCCATGCAGTCATTGATAATATGATCATTTAACATCTAAAACCTCACTTAGTTCTTAAACCAAGTATTAGTTGATAATGATTTCATATTTCTGAGTGTAACAAAAGTAAATCACTGTGTTTGTGAACTAGGGCAGTGATTAAATATGATGAGCTTTTCATTGGGTTTGGCACTCAACTTAGGTTACCATTAACAGAGTTGCCTGCCCTTCCCATTCAAAGCCTTGATAGAAATAGTCTTAACACATTTAACCTTTTATAATAATTCTCATATAATATTTCTTATATAATAAAAGCCATTGCGCTGCCTTGAAATGAAACAAAATTTTTTACTTTCTTCCATCTGAATGCTATTGGGCCAATGCAGACAGGACTTAAGTATCTATATCACAGATAGACAAAACCAGGTTGAAAACTCATTGAAGCAGTTAAGTTGTTTAGATGGTAGATGACAAGTTATTGCCACCATGCAGACTCCTCTGTTTATTTCTGCTAATGTATTGACAGACGACAAACCTACTGTTTCTCTCACTGCTCTAGGCTGGTGTTAAAATTCATTTACATAATGCATTGGAATAACATCTTGTAGGTAGCAGACATCAATTATAGTTAAATAATTAATTTTACTAATATGGAATTAAACAAATATCTTCATATTGAAATAGACTGAAGTAGTAATTATTTTGAATATTGATTAGGTTAGCTTGGTATAATCTAATTAGATAATTTCAATTAACAGTGGCTACAAGATAAGCTAAGCTTACAATAACTATTGATACAAACTTATTGTTAGTACCTTCCAATACCATTATCTTTTAATCTATGTTGCATTGTGTAGGATTGGTAGGAAAACTTTACTCATTGTACACAGTTAATGGTTAAAATATCCTCTAAAATACTTTGATTAATTGTTTTCCAAGTAATAAATTTATTGTTCATTGAAGCCACACCAGGGATTGGCTGTTTGTCACTATATATTTGAGGGCAAAAAGTGTCGCTATCATAATTTTGTGAGGCACAGGAAAAAGTGGTTGTTCAGCAAACATTGTTAAAAGTGTTATATATTAGCTATTTGTCAAAATTTAGGATTTAATAGCAAACTTTATCTGAAATAGACTTATTTTAACAGTTAGTGAAAGTTAGTAATAAAAAGTTATTGGACATTAGTGATAAAAAGGCAACAAAAATCAAATGAATTGAAATTGACTGTATTTACCAGGAATTAGATATTACTAAAATTATTTTGAAAAGTCTTAAATGAACATGGTTTACAAAAGCTAAACTCTGTTATTTGGAAGAGATACACATGGTATACAAAAGCTTAATGAGACTGTGCTATTTGGAATATGTAGATACATAAAATAGGATATAAGCTTATCTGTTCAGGATAATTAAGCCAATTTGCTATAAATCAATGCAAAAGTCAACAAAATTGCTTTTTGATGACTAAACTGATAGTAATATAGTCTCATATACAGATAAATTACTAATAAAAAATGATTATATTATGTAAGAGAACTAAGACAGGTGTAAAAGATTGGTAGATAGAAATATATTACCTGTAGAAGAATCTACTAGAATATGACTTAACAAGAAACTTTTCGACATATGCTTCCTGACCTATCAAATCAAATTACAAACACAAGTGTCAGAGAACTCTTATATCATCTATGGTGCCAAAATAATCAGTGTTCTCAGAGTTTCATGATTGAGCTGGAAAATTTGTGGAACAGGACTATTATAGTTAGATTTAATGTTAAAATAGGAACAAAGAAACCAGTAAAAGATATCAAAAGGATTTGTGTATGTCAAATGGGTGTGATGTAAAATTAAAAGTTCAGTGTGAATTAAAATGAAAAATCTAGGAATAGTTTCAAATTAACATAAAAATTGTGCATTAACATTAAATAACAACCATCTCAAATAATTTCTGCTCACATTTTATTTAACAAATTATAAGATGGATGATTGGAAACCCTGCAATTACGCACAGGTAATAAATTTAAAATTTTGGATTTCTAAAAAAAAATAACAGTCTATATTTTATTTTATGACTATTTAGATTTGTTTTGAACTTTCTTAAAGATGTCTGAAGGAAGCAGAGAATCTCCAATTTGATTCAAGATTTATGATGTACTTTAACCATAGGGAAGTTGGAAACAAAACCTTGACAACTTATGATTAATATCATTAATTATGTTTTTAGATGACATTTTGTTTAGTGACCTCTACTATCATTTTTTGCACACATCTAGATTTTTAAAATTATTTCATCTTTTCATCATAATATGAATTAATGGGTTATAATTACTATTTATTAAGCATTGCATTTATATTTTTTCCAGGTGAAACATCGACCACCTAATAAACTAACAATCAAAGTTACACAAGGTTATAATATAACTAAAGGATGGGCTAAAGATTGGAGTAAGTTGAAATATATTTTGAATTTACGAAACTTATTTTTAACATTCCTGATATTTAATGAAGCTTGGAAGTTTGAAAAAATATTTTCTCAGCTGTCTGACATCAATCTATAAAAATTTCTAATGAAATGATGCTCTCTCATTAACTACAGTTTCAATTTTAACCATACACCTCTCTGACTTAATTAAAATTTTGAAATGCAATTTTGAAATATTTTATGTCATATAACCATTACCTACACAAGAAAATTGTAAATGCATAGATCTAGATAGTGAACGCAAGGAGAAAATCAACAAACAAAGCCTACAAAATCAAGGAGGTTGTCTATTAGTCCAATAGCTATCCGGGATCATTTAATGGCCGTAAATTCACATACATTTATGATTTGTTACAGTGGATACACCTGACCCATATGTAATATTATGGATTAAAACGGCGCCAAATAGTTGGCAGAAAACAACAGTTAAAGACAATGATATTCATCCAGTCTGGAACGAAACTTTTACATTCTATTTAGATCCTATAGTAGAAAATGTTTTGGGTAAGTGCAGAATTATATCAGTGACTTGTCAGACACCATCACCTGTTACTTCAGCAATTTGCTAAGGAAAATGATCCCATCATAACTCTGAGAATATGTACAAAGTGTTGCATCAACTAGTTACTTGTTAAATAACTCTGAGTGCAAACTTTGAAAAAACATGAGCTGCATTGTCTTCTATTGAACAGAATTGTAAAGTAATAATAAGATTGATTCAGTTGCAATTTTAGACTATTATTAACATATTTCAAACTACAGCATGTCTTTTTGTTTTAAATGTAATGAGTAAATAATGGAAATTGTAAAATAATTGATCAGAATGTGCATAATGAAATGATACTTCTTGATTCCAAACCACACATTTAAAAAACACCTCAGAATAACTAGATGTTACTTGTTTTAGAAATATCGCTAATGGATGCCAACTATACTATAGATGAACATCTCTGTCAACGTCAAATACCTCTTGATGATATTCCAGTGAAAACTAAAATTAAAAAACGTATTCAATTTAATGACGTAAGTATCTTAGAATACTAAATATTTCTGACCCAAAAGAAATCATCCAAGGAGACTTTTTTACCCATGTTAGCAAAAGTGAATGAGCAATAATACAATCCGAAAAATACTTGACAATATTGTAATTATGACTAGAAAAACATCATCAAATACTGTTTAATTTATTACAGACATCTGAAGTAGAATTAGAAATGTTTATGGTTGTTGAGTAAGTATATCATCATATAATATAAATTCACAATTATATTGCTGATGATAAATCATGAATTCAAAGCAAGGATCTTATCAACCACACGACATCACAATAATACATAACACTACTTATATACACCAGTTTACATGTACATCCAATGAATTGTAAAGAGATTTTAAAACTTATGTGTATCAGGGGACACTATTTATAACATTCCAATTTTCTGGCAGACGCATTTCGCTACTAATTTTATCAGCAGTCTTTGCAATAGTGACATCATTATACTGTCATAATTTGTATTAACCTAAAACATGTCTTTACTGATATACTTAATAATAATAAAACTTGTTTTCTACTAGTGATAATCCCAAGCTACGCTACAGTTTAGCATTATGTGATGAAGAAAAAGAATTTGTTAGTGTAAGAAAAAGTCGAATATTTACGGCAATGAAAGATATATTAAGAGAAGATGGTCCACGAAATGTTAGAGAGGTAATCATTGTTTCTGTTGTGTTCAGCAGAATTTAGAGATCTTTAGTTTTCCCTAAAAGCTTAAAGAAACGGGAATAGTTAAGCCAATCTGATAAAGTGTTCACAGCTCACTGTCAAAATTTGAGTCTTCAAATCCATGTGTCTAGAATTATCCACATTTTCTTGAGACACTGCCATATATAAGAAAAGAAATTCCTAGTTTGAGATATTTTTTAAGGAATCATGCAATTCATATACATTAATAAAACTTCTGAAAACTATATATTCAAGGCTTAAATCAATCCCCCAAAATGGTGCAAATGTCCCTTAACACATTTATATGATGTTAGCAAACACCAAAACACATACATTGAAATAAACGCCAGAAGGAAATCACCACTTACAGCATTAAGTAGATCATCAAGTTCAGCTGATAAAAATTTGGCAGCTGTTCATACTAATTTATGTTAGCAGATTTGAAAATAAAATGTTATCAAATGTCAAGGGATCTTAGGCAAAGCCAAGATAAAAAGCCATTGAAACAATGACTACACGTTTTTGCATTTTACGATGGAGCCCTGGACCCTAGATTTATGAGCCTACCTCTAACTTGTTTAACTTGGTTTATTACTGAGCAGTATACTCCATATTGAATTACCAATAAATTTATATTCTAGGTCCCAACCATAGCTGTATTAGGATCAGGTGGTGGTTTTCGTGCTATGACAGCACTATGTGGTGTAATGACTGCTCTAGCTGACAGTAGAGTAATAGAAATGGCCACCTATGTTGTTGGTTTATCAGGTTCAGCATGGTAGGTATTTTTCATCAAAGACTATTAATTTCATGTTCATGACTCAATCTGATTTGAAAGTTCAAAGACAATGAATCAGTGAGACTTCTTGTGCTAATATCTGCAACCAAAGTCCATGTTTCAGCTTTTAACAATGGTCTTTCCTACCTTTAAAAGCTCTTATATGTCACAAACTAGGACCTATTGATGTATCTACACATCTGACAGTATCCTAATTGGCTGGGTTACAAGATGGTTAATCTGTTTTTTGGTTTTCATAGAATTAAATCAAAATCAAAATAAAATTCTTTATTGCAGGTATATATCTCAACTTTATTCCAATCCTGAATATCCACTAAAATCTCCAGGGGCATTAAAGGAAGAACTCAAACTGAATATAGATTCCAGTCCATTCTGGTTAATCAAGCCTCAAAGTATGTACAGATACATGAAACGAATAATGGAAAAACGAAGACATGGCCAACCAGTCTCCTTTACAGATTTTTTTGGCCATCTTGTAGGAGAGACTATATTAAAAGGGGTGAGTAAATAGGTTTCACTTAGTAGCCATTTCCTTTAATGAAGGCATCAAATAACCCTAGAAATTGTTCCGGACGTTTTATTTGGGAGAAAATCATGTTGCACCAGATAATTGCCAAAACTATAGAAAGAAAATGTCTGTGTTCAGATGATTTTTTCATGCTTTGCCTTGGTTCATGTACCCAAAACTTCAGAACTAGACACAAGAACGCAGGACAGATAATTGATGATTTCTGTATTAGTTATTATTCATATTACAGAGACTAGAAACTAGGCTATCAGATCAACAAGAGAAAGTTAAAACTGGTAGAATACCAATGCCAATCTATACATGTCTTCATGTTAAAAAACATGTCTCAGCTATGATCTTTCATGGTAAGAATACACTTCTTTATTTATAAATTGATGAAAAATGGCTAAAGCTTAAAATCTAATTTGACGTTTTTTTCACTCTCTAATGTACTATAAATACATTGCAAAGTATAACTCACTACAGAACAGAATTGTTATTTTGTTTAATAACTTGTTGTCAATGACTGAACCAAAGTATTATTGTTATAGCATATTTGCGTGAATAGTAGCCTAAAATGGGCTTGCCAAACAGGGCTGAACATCATAGACAGTGACAAAAAACTTCTGGAATTTTTTAACAGAAGATATCCCATTCAATATTGGCAGTCAGCCATTTATATGCATGTAACCCCATTTTTATTTTCATGACTCACATTTCTATTGTAGAATGGATGGAATTTTCACCATTTGAAATTGGTCTACCTAAATATGGTACATTTTTAAAACCAGAATTATTTGGTAGTAAATTTTTCATGGGTCAATTAGTCAAACCTTATAAAGAACCACCGCTTCATTTCTTACAAGGTAAAAATGATATCTTATTGAATAACACAGTGCTCCATGATTGTCAAATTGCCCTGCTATCAGTTGCCTGCTTGAGTTAAACAGTTTATATTTACATAATATTCCAATGTGTAACTGAATGCATGTTATTACTACTGTGTCCAGGGAAAAAACTCTGTTTTAAGTTATTTAAAGTCTTTTTCAACACAAAATGTATCTTATCCTAGAGAATCTCTACCATTGATGTTAATTTTCAATCTATTTGTCATAAAGAATTTCCCTTAGCAATCATTATCTATTCAACTTATTTTATTTCTATAGGTATATGGGGTAGTGCATTCTGTATCCAGTTTAAACGATTATTACAAGATGATAAGAAGGTTGATATAGCTGAATTAATGAGACAAGAAAGAGATGAATTAGGTCAGTGTTCTGCTGCTAATTTTTTCCTTCGGCATGTCACCTCATATTTGCATGGGTCCACAAAGCATATTTGTAGTCAGTTTCTTTCTGTGATTACCTCTTAGATAGGCCTATTTCATAACATGTTCATTTTTCAAATTTCAGAAAATGAATTACAAAAAGAGCTGAATTCACAGACAGATGAAGACAGTGAAACAAGTGATACAGAAGAAGATGAAGTAACAAAGAAAGACCAAAAAGAATCCAAACCGAAAGCACTGGCTAGAAAGCCTAGTAAGAATGTTAAAGTACAATCCAACTCATTCTGGTCTGGTATGGTAGAAAAGTTATTTGATAGTACTATACTACAGACTATAGAAGGGCGAGCTGCTATGGTACATAATTTCATGAGAGGACTATCCATGTCTTCAATGTTCAGTTATTCCCCTTTCTCAGCCCGAACTAACTCAAAAGAACAAGTTTATGGTGAGTAGAAAGGTTTTTTTTGATCAATATGCTTATCATATCATGTGCTTAAACAAAATAGAAATTTCGTACAACCTTTTGAGTATATATCAACCCGGTACAATGCTCTTGGAGTATGCCTTTTTTCGACACAGTTGCCATAATGTACTTGTAAAATTCAACTTGAAACAAAGAGGGAAGGCTACATTCCTGTGTCAAAAAGAAATTGAAATTTTAGTTAAGATTAGTCAAATTAATTCTGTATTTTGGCCTACCAATATGCAATAGAAACAAAAAACAATAAAATTTATTCCATTTGGATATAAAACAGTGCTTATGAGAATTTCATTGTCTAATCATGTTATATATTGTATATTTCAGATTTTAATCCAGATACATTTGATGGAATATTTGAGATGTATCCTACTAATATTAAAAAATTATACGTAGTGGATGGTGGACTGACATTTAATTCTCCTTACCCACCTATATTACGACCACAGAGAGCTGTAGATTTATTAATATCATTTGATTTTAGTGCTAGACCGTCTGATACAACTCCACCATTTAAGGTAATGATCTACAATTTTTATCTAAAATAACTCAGGCTTAATCAACTGTATATCTTGGTTATTATGTCCAGCCAGTCTGGTATTAAGAGCTGGCTTGGTTTCACAGTTTGCCCCTCTATATGAATGCAGGCTAGGACTTTATTTCCCGAAAGGTTTTGTTTGCTTTGTTTCTTGGAATCTATGTTTGGTTATATTATGTTTTCAGATAATTGATTTTAAAATCTTTGACAGATGATAATATTCATCAACATTAACATTTTCAATTTGCAAACCATTTATAGTATTGAAACCAAAAGTTTGTTTTCAGCTATCAAAATGTCAAATGTAATGAATATCAATGCACAAACTAACGATTTTATTTGAATTTCAGGAGTTATTATTAGCAGAGAAATGGGCTAGAATTAATAATATACCATTCCCACCTATAGATCCTACTATAGTTGATAGAGAAGGTTTAAAAGAATGTTATGTATTTAAAGATCCTAATGACCCACATTGTCCTACTGTTCTACATTTTACATTAGTTAATATCACATTTAGAAAAGAGAAAATGCCAGGTAAATAAAACTTTTAATATCATCCATATTGAACTGTGGTCATTGAAATTTTCCAACAACTTTCATTCTGTGATGAAAAGATTCATTATGAGACATAATTTTGAAGTGTATCATTATATTGGTGGTATACCTTTAAGGAGAGTTTGATACATGAATATAATGATTAATGATAAATATCTTGAAAATAGCATACAACCAAGACAAATCTATCAGATAAAATTTCTATGACAATTTCAATAACAAACACAATCAAGAAAAAACTTAACTCAACAAATGTATGCATTTAGAATTGTAACTAATTCAAAATTATGTTGCAATTTTACTGGCGTTATTTTTGACTCTCTTAATATCAAATCAACTGACTACAATTTTGCATTGAATTTCTTAAATCATGATCCTTGAATATATTTCAGGTGTACCAAGAGAAACAGAAGAAGAATTTGAATTTGCAAATTTTGATTTATTTGATGATCCAGAGAGACCCTATTCCACATTTAATTTTAAATACGATCATCTGGCATTCGATAGATTAACAAAATTAACAGAATTCAATACATTATTATATAAACAACTTATATTAGACAATATTAAAACTCGTATTAAATTAAGACGTCGCCATAGTATCAGACGACCTTGTAAAATACGAGATATCAAGAAACTTAATTTACGTGATAAATTCAAGGAAGGAGCTTTGGAAGCATTTATTAGATCTATTGACGAACAGGAACAGGAAGGAGCACAGCTTGAAAAAACTGAAGTAAACAACGTAGCTGAATCTTAACTTGTGAAATCTTTGATTCTGCCAATATTATTGGAATCTGTGACAGAAGATTTTTCCGTCATTTTTTAAGGAGTATCTTTCTGTTAACAGAAATTAACTTGTATTCTCTTTCAAACGTTTAAATATTCAGTCCCAAGTATATTGTCTGCATTTGCACTTTCTTGCTTTAATTGTAGCTTTAAATAATTTTTGAAGCATCAGTTCTATATATTAATAATATTATTATACATATAGGTCTACCTTTCTAAATCAAATAAATCTCCAATGAGGAAAATTGTGCAGTTAAACTAGATTATTTATATTGTCTATGGAGACCTAGTACGCAATGAAGAATGCATTTTTACATTTCATCCAAATGCCTCATTTAAATATTTTATTTTATTTAATACATTAAAATGTGTAATGATTTTGAATGAATTTGTTTGTCCATATTGTGTATGTATTTTAAACTTTGATCTGATGATTATGATCTGCTAATAAATTAATTTTATTGTAAACAGTTTTTGATTTATTTCATTTTACATATTTCAGTTTACATGAACTGCAGAATACAAGATCATGTTTGCTGACACATGGATGTCCTGTTGTCCTCAAATCAAAGCACAATGCAGGATTAAAAAAAATAACTAAAGACAGAAGTTTATTAGTTAATTCTGTGATTTAATTAGAAATGAGTAAAAACAATGTGCAAATAACACAACAGTTAGTGTAAAAATATACACAACAGTTAGTGAAAAATATACACAACAGTTAGTGAAAAATATACACAACAGTTAGTGTAAAAATATACACAACAGTTAGCGTAAAAATATACACATAATGAACTTTTTATACTTACATAATCACATGCAAGTTTTTATCTTGGATTTATTTTTTGATCAATGTGACATCTTTATATGTATGTTCTGTAATTACAAATGATGTAACTTTCATAAAGTTCCACTAATAAAATTGTAAATGCTTAAATCTGTCACAGTTGAGGTTTTATACAAACTTTCATAAATCACATGAATTGTCCTATACAACAACTTTTTTCTTTCAAAAATTCATAAAATCACATGTAAAATTCATAAAATCACATGTAAAATTCATAAAATCACATGTAAAATTCATAAAATCACATGTAAAATTCGTGGATGTGGATGAAAATTACAGATTTGTTCTTTATTAATCATATGTGAAGTCTTTCATAAATCACAATTATTTGTTAAAAAAAAGTTCTCTAAAACAAAATTGTTATATATCATTTCACATAATATCAAATCTTCCATAAAACAGTTTGTATATATCACAAAAAATAAAATAAAAGTCAATGTTTTAATACCAAAATAAACAGCAGACTGAATATCATTCTATGTTCACTCAATCACATAACATCATCAATGGCCTGATCTGTCATATCTTAATTAGATCTTCATCAATGGTAAGAAGTAAAAAATTGTCTATTTGACCCTTGAATAGGTTTGTGTTATACATTTTATAGTAAATTCTGTCTTTTGATCTTCATTATTTTTTATCCATTATATTTGCATTTTATTTTTGTTCACTAAACACATTTTCCATTCAATCAGAATTCACTTTACTCTGTCTTGACTTTTCTCCATGATTTCATTATTTTCCTGAATGATTTCATTATTTTTCTCAGTGATTTCATTATTTTTCTCAGGGATTTCATTATTTTTCTCATTTTTCTCAGGGATTTCATTAGTTTTCTCAGGGATTTCATTATTTCTCTCAGTGATTTCATCATTTCTTTCAGTAATTTGATTATTTTCTGGATGCTGTAGTGCCTGTCTCTCAGTCATGATTGTTGAGTTAATAAATTCCACCAGAGTGTTTCTATTATTGTGGGTTATGAACTTCTTAAACTGATGATCTGAAATGACAGAATAGAGATTATAGCCTTCTTTACAACAATCATTTTGTGATTTGCAATAAGGTCCTTGAAGCTCTGTCAGATTTTGTTATTCCCATTTCAAAATTTGAAGCCATTATGCTACAGGCTGTGTACTTTTATATTTCCAGCATGGAGAGAGTACACTGTGAATGCTCTCCACTAACACGTTACTATGTTGAGTATTATACTGTAATGATTCCGCCAATGAGTTTAAAAATATCATATATTAAGTTTAGGTTTCAGCTGAACCCAATAATCATCCAACATTACATGTACCTTTGATGATGGTCATCAATGGAGCTATTTCAACCACTGTCAAATCAGATTGGTCTTTATCTAAGTTTTCCATCACAGACTGTAAATATTGGTGTAGATTATCCAGACCACCATTATAAACTTGAAGATATAATAACTGTTGTAAATGACAAACTTGAGGTATTCTTCTTAGACTGGTCTGTACAAAGAGATAAAACCAGGTACACAAATAAAAATTTACCATCTAAAACTAAATACAAATCATGGCAGACATATCCAAATAGAACCAAATAAATGCCATCTTTTGTAATTAAAGCAGAAATTTCTACTAAGATTTGATCAATAACTGTCATAACAAAGCTGTATTTTGTTTTCAAAGAAATGTGCACAAACAAGACCAATGATAATATATGCTTACAATTAATAACATATCAATGGTGGGTTTTGGTTTGCTAGATGTATTTCATACTAACCTTAATGAATAATCTTGATAATAAATAAATAAAACCAGCCATATATCTTGTTAAACAAGTAGATATTTTTAATATAACACTGCTGCCTGTTGGTAAATACTGAAATAGATAAAATAGTTACTGTTGTAAGAGATGTAGTAATATTTTATTCATATTTTAAGTCAAAGTTTTAAATTTAAAAATGTTTGTGTATTAGTTAGATACTCGATACATATCATGACAATAACATTGTGATAGGTATCGTAGCATGGCATGATTGGTGATACCAAACACTTCAATGCATTGGTTACATGCCTTAAAGTCCAATGGTCTTGATGTCCAATGATGTGAAGTAAGGTTTAACTACTGTTCATACAATGAAAATTTTTCATTTCCATGGGCACTAAATATTTTCATTTTCATATCAAATAAACCAATATAATACCAATAATATATTTACCATTAAAATATCTTTAATATGTAATAATATATCTCTTTTATATTGATTCTTAACTTCAGATATATCAGATTGGACTATATCACAGTAGAGTGTACCACTTTTAATTGTCTTCAGGTCTTCTGGTGATTTTAGAACTAACGATTCGATCTGAGAACTAGATTGTAATTCCAGACTTAGTTCCATGTCAATGTTAAAAGAATATAGTCCTGGAAGAGAACTGGAACCAACAGAATCTTGTAATAATTGGTTGATTAATGTTTCACATAGCTTTTTCTTGTTGACAGTAAATAGTTTGTTCCCATTCTGAAAGTAAACATATATCTATATGAAAATAAAGTGAATGCTAAGCCAATACCACCTAAACATAAAACTCAAAGGCTCAAGCCTCAAACTTGGATAGTAAAAGTATACATTCATCAGTGGACTTAACTTGTTCCAAACTAACAGAATGACACCAGTTTAGTTCACTGATGAATTTATACTCATTTTGACCAAGTTTAAAAATCAAAATAATTTGATCACCCTAAGAGGTAGTATTCCTTTAAGTATGGCTGTTACATCCATATATATTTGAAATTGTAATGTTGGATTGAACATTCTAATGGTTGAGTTTTCAAGTCATATATTCTTGAAAATTTATTTCTTAGCCTAGTCTGCATATATCTTACTGATATACTTACAAGTACTGTATGATGGTGTAATATCTTATTATAACATGATACAATTCTATTATCACAAAATCTAGAACTTTCTATATTCTCTATTATCTTTTCTTTTCTTTCTCTCCATTCTTTTACATCTTCATCTTTTAACATGTTGGTACACTACAATGATATAAATATTTCAGTGTTAGATAATTCTTTCCCTTTAAACACAGAAAACAAACTAACTTCAAAATACTATGAAGAATCTCCTGATATTTTTTTTTTGGAACAATGGCAACAATATGCATAAGTTTACTTATCTTGAACATCTATCAAATTTATAAAATGTGAACTTTGCTTTTTGAATACATATTGCCTACCAACAGAAAGGCATATGAAAGTCGCAAAGTTAGTACCAAGCAAATGTATTTTAGTTCCCTTACTTGTAAAGTAAGTTTATCATGTGACACTCTGTAAAAGTCCATCTGCTGTAACTGACTCTTCCAAGGGAGATCACCCTGTTTCTGTCGATCTTGGAATGAGCCACTGAGTTTACTTTTAGGACTGTTTAATCTTTGGAATTGAAAGGGTGGTTCTATGACGTCTGAAAGTTCTTGTGGTTCATGATCTCTATCCAAGAAAAAACTGGAATATTTCTGAAAGGAAATTCTTCATTTATTGTAAAATGGAGAAAAAACTGATGAAAGTTGACTATGATTGTGCAGCAGACAATCCATCTTTGATCATTGAGGGCACTTTTCAGGATATATAACATTTGTAATCATCAGATCATTTCAGTGATACAGTTTTTCTTTTATTGAAAGCATACCAGATACCAGTTTCTATTCTGAAAAGCACTCAGAAAGCTTAGATTTTTTTCCATCAATATTTAACAAAAGCATTTGACAATATCACATCCATACATCAGTTCTGAGGAATTGTGTAGGGCCAGATTTCGTAGGCTAATCGACAGTGTCTAGCTAATATTCATTTACAGTTAAATTGTCATACCAATTATATATACCAATTATATTTATCAAAAAATGTTAAAAATACTAACTTTAGAATATTTATTTGTTATTATCTGAGAATATTCTGGTATTCTTCGTAAATTATATTTTGTAATAAATAATTCTTGACAATATTCTTTAAGTGACGTCTGCCATCTTTCATCTTCTGTTGTTAATTTCTTGTAGGTATGAATATTAACTTCTATTGCCTCTATTTGATAGTTGACAAACTGTTGACAACATGATACATGTTGTTTTAAAAAAGATTCAGGATACAATGGTTTGTTTACTTCAAACTCTGAAATTCACAATCACAAAATGTTAGTCAAAATATTTGTTAAAGAATAAACAAACTTTCAGTTAAATGTCTAAATCCATGGATTACCAGCGTATTATTTTACAGGAAATATGTCTAATTCTATATCTTACCAAAATTGATCACATGAAATACTTCCCTCAACAGTCATGCCAAACTTATAAATACTTCAGATTGGCTAATAAACAGGAGATGGACAGAAAAGTTGGACCACAGAACAAAATCTGATGACCCAAAAAAATGTTCTTCAAATTCATTGAAAAGTGTATGGACCTTAATATGATGACAAAATTGAGGTTAGGAGAGGTGAGGTAACTCTCAATTATATGACTGTGAAGCAGTATTCTTACCATCATTTGGGTTGGGGGCTCTAAAAAAAACATCACAAAAAGTCCTTGGAAAGCCAATGGAAGCCCTTATGAATTCATTCAAAATATTTTGGCTGGCTTAAACCACATCAGAGTATTCAAATACTAATGTTGGGTGTAAGGAAAGAGAAACTTATTAATGTTACATACCATTATCAAATATTTGTTGGAATGTATCAGATGTTAATTGAGCTGTATAGTGTTCACATATTATATAAACTTCAGAATTACCAGGTTTACTAGTGGAAGGTTTAAATACACTAACCTATAACAATTTAGCAAACAATTGAGTTATCAGTTCAGATAGTACATTTATGTTGAAACATGAGTATTTTTTGATTTCACTACATAAAATTTACTTTTGGCAATCAATTTGGGGCTCCTATACATGCAGTATGAAGCTGATCCTATTTGTGCATATTACATACCCATGATGTTGTATTTACTCATTCCCTCCAAAACTTTTCTTGAGAACTGTTTGGTTTGAATAATTTTTCAAAATGAGTGGAACAGAAAATGAAAGGCCTTATGTGTTCTCAGTGGCCAACACTTTTCACGGTGAGAGTTAGTATTATTGTCTTGAATAGTAGTTATTGACTAACTAACTAAGTACCCAGTCAACCACATATCAAAGAGTATCTTAAAACTTATTAAACAATTAGATCCCTGCATTCATCAAGCAGAAGACTTGTGTGTAGAAAGTACAAAGGAAAGTTAGAGTGAGTTAAAAGATGAACTAACTCACAAGATTAATGTAGTAGTGTTGTATATTATTGTGTAGCTTATATTGTTTTATATTGTCTTTTTGTATTTGCTTAGTTGCTATGTTGGTGTTTGTTATGTTGGCAGTTTCATTTTGTCGTATGCTAAGTGTAGTTTTTTTAAATAGCACTCATCATGAGTTAAGTTAATTAGTCTTCTTTCCTATAGGTGGCAGTTTTTCACTAGTTTCCTAGTTACTTTGTTTTTGTTTTTCATAAGGAAAACATTAAGTTTCAAGTGTTAAATATTTATAGTTTCACAGAGGATAATTATATTGAAATACTACTATGAATTAAAACTCCTAGGAATTAGGTTAAGCATTGTATCTAATTGTAAATATTATTGTAAATATTATTCTTATCCGTTTATAAAACTGCAGCATATTTATTTCCATTACATAAAACTATCGTTTGGGTTATTTCCTAGTGTCTAAAATAGTTATTATATTTATTTATTTCAGAGTTTATAATATATACATTATATCTGTAATATACCGAAGTATTTGCTATTATTTAATAAACTATTTTATATCAAGTCTTCCTGTCACTGGTTTTTCCCCGTTACATTAAGAACACTTCAATGACTTGTAATCTGGGATATAAATTAAGAGTTTTTTTTGCCTATTAATGTGTTTCATGAACACTAATCCTCTATTGCTTTAAAGATTTTCTTGAAGTATAATATTCTAAAAAAATTTAGTAATTTGAACAGGCTCTGTTTTTGCTGCCAGTATGCTATGTGTCATATATCCATGACAATTTCTGATCCCATAATCTGGACAATATCATCTTAGTTTACAGGAATCAATAATGTTGAACGGAAAATGAAATGGTGCCAATATGATTTTAAATGTTCCTGATTAAGATATAAAGCTCAAGCTACATTCAAAGTAAAAATCATATACAGTAACACTAACTAGGATATAAAGAAATTTTTTAAATGGTTTTACCTGTTTAAAAGTGGTATTAAGTAAATATAATAGAGTTATAGTTCTCTCTTCAAACATAGTAAATATCTTAATAACAAAACTACCACCAACTTCTAGTAGTTTTAAACTACTTAATGTTTCATAATAATGTAAATCAGATACCAATAACTCTTGTTCTGCTGGTGAATTCTGACAGCCAATACTTCCATCAGCTGTTATCTACAATACAAGATTAACATGGTGAATTCTGACAGTCAATACTTCCATCAGCTGTTATCTACAATACAAGATTAACATGGTGAATTCTGACAATCAATACTTCCATCAGCTGTTATCTACAATACAAGATTAACATGGTGAATTCTGACAGTCAATACTTCCATCAGCTGTTATCTACAATACAAGATTAACATGGTGAATTCTGACAATCTATACTTCTATCTAATTCTGACAGTTTATACATCTACTCCCATCAGTTGTTAATATGTACTATAATCTTAATTAAGGACATCTGGTGTTGCATGTTGCATTAGTAACTTAACTACCAAAAATCTTAGCAAGCTGGCTTTTTAATAAATATAGTTACCTCCCTTTAAATAATACTTCAAGCAAAATTCCTACTACGAATGGTAGGTTGCTTTTCTTTTTAAAAATGAATCATTTGTAAGAATAAGAAAATTATCGTCTTTTTATGCCCTTTATAATAAACAAGTAAAACATATCAAAAATTATAAAACATGAACCAATGTTAAGAATTGAAGAACTTACTAATTGAATGCCATTCATGTGAGAAACTTTGTCTACCAATGCTTGTATATTCTTTTTATTCATCAGATTTCCAGTACCATCTTGACCAAAATACCAGTGATCTAGTGTCTCTCTTATAAACCAGTCATCATCAATCATATAATTCAATGAATTACCCTCATGGTATGGACATAATGTTGACGCCACCCACTGCCAATGATTCTGCAATTCTAAAATCAAATATTCAAATTACTATACAGAGATCTACAACATTATTTCTGAATTTTTATTGGTCCTTTCTTGACCTGGTTCAGTGCATGAGATTATTTGCATAGCTATTAAGAAAATAATTCGAGAGTGATTCGCCAGCAGTGGAAAGTCTAATGACTTTATTGTTCAGTCCAATCAGCTTCAAATGGTTACTGATAATTTGGATGTTACAATGCTTAAAGTTTTTCCATCAGACCCAATTGGTAGAAAACACCATTGGAAAAAAAAAATAATGTCTCCAAATGTGGATATTTATTGTTTCTATTTCACTGAAAGCTCAGAGTTCTTGTTTGTCAAGAAATATTAATGGTATATACTGATAAAACATGGTCATCAAAAAAGAAAACATCTGATTAACTTGTATATAAAAATGAATACGGTACCTCTATATTTCAGTTGATGATTTAAGGCAGATACAAAAGCACCAGGAGCTTCACAAAGATGCACAGAATTGATTTCTGTACAATTTTCAGGAATTATTGGAAACTTGTTTAAAATCTCATAAAATTTACACCAGGCCTGTGTACAAAGTTCTACATGAAATGCTGTCTTTAATTCATGCATTATTCCTCCTGCAATGTGCATAAATTTGGTATGATGATGCCAGCTGACAATATCTTTATCACTTAAACTATCTTTTACATTGTTCAATCTCTCTTTTAAAACATCTAAATCTTTCTTCATTTCTACCATTGTCTCAGTCAGTTCAAATCCATCAGTGGATTCTATTTTCCAACATACATCTGTTGGCACTGTGTAAGAGAAAGTTTTATCAAAAAGTTTGTGAACTTGTTCTTTAGAAGCTGGGTCTATTTGTTGTAGTTTACTATTACAGGAGTCAAATCGTTTTCTTTTAGATCTTTGTTTACTGGACATTTTACTAAAAATATATTAAAAAAATATGTGTAACAGAATACAGAAGCTCTCTTTCTCTATAATAATTGTAAATCTAGAGTAATACATACAGAAGTAAATTGTCAACATACAGGTACCTAATTTGCCACACTTTTATCTCAAATATAGACTCTTCTATCCTTATGGTGCCCATTTCTCTAAGCCCATTGGTGCAATTGACATAGATTAGGATCTGTATATACCGGTTCATAGTAGATAGTTGAATTTCAGGAAGTAAAAGTAAAGGCAAGTGTGAAGGTATGTTTGTTTTTTGATCATGTTATGTTGAACTCTAGTTTGTGCATATCATACACCCATCTCTTTACAAATGATTTTCACTCTTCAGCATAGATCAGAACCTCATATGGGTTTGATAATTTGAACTTAGAACAAACTGTATTTCTTTTAGTCAGATGGAAAAGGACATTATTCAAACAATCGTAAAATTTGCCTGAAAACTGATCTTCAATGCATTATCAACTGCCGAAAAGGACTGGGAATGAGATGACCATTAGATTTATAATTTCTTGCGGTTCAGAGAGCACTTGATTACTCGTCTTGACTTACCTTTTTGCCTGGGCACTCAGTAATGGTACATTGAAACAGTTCAGTTGTCCTTATAGCAGTATTTTCTTAGAAACTCCACGATCTTAATAATAAATCAGTGACAAAAACATAGAAAATAAAAGTAGAGAGGACTTCCGGTATTGTCTTTGTCGTCCAGACTCTTCCTGTTACATGTTAGTCAGAGACATAGGCTTCTAACAAGCGCGTAGGTTTATATACAGCGACAAATTATCAGTATATCAGTAGTGTATTTAGGGGGAGGGTCATTGGGCCATGGCCCTCCACTCAGGATTGTGAAAGGTCTTATTTTGAAGTGAAAATTGTGCCCTCTAAATGCTCATAATTCATATCAGGACATCTGAAATCTGTTGGCTTCTCGGGCCTCTTGCACCTCCTAGTCCCCCTTCCTTAGAGGTCCTTGCCTTCCCTCCCCTGTGCATTTTCTTAGTATGCCCCAGACAATTATATCTTCCCATCTGTGATTCCTGTAATTCCAGACAATATTCTAGGGGAGCACCTCCCCTGAACCCCAACCATGACTACTGCTCTCTTATAGTTTGTTGCTTAAAAACTTCCCAAACTTCTGGAAATATATAAAACGCATTTATAGACGCCATCATAAAAGGCTCTGGTGGCTCAGTGAGTTAAAACGCTTGCTTGCTAACCAGAAGATTCAAGGGTCAAGCCCAGCATGGCTTGAGATAATACCTTTGGATTTTTTAACTGGGCTTACCCTCATCAATGATACAGACTGGAGGGTATGGGATAATAAACCAAGGTGCTACAGGCTGTGCACGTAAAGTTCTCTCAACAGTTGGAAATCTAAAAAGAACAGGCTAATGCTGCTGTCGTGACAAAAATACCCTGATAGCACACTGCATTTTCCATCACAAAAAGGATTAAAAGAACAAATACAAGTTAAATACAAATCTTTTTAATCCCTTAAAATAATTTCCTTGTATAATAATTTTAGATCTAGTTGTTTCTTGATACAGACAAAAACACATTAAATTACAATGTTAACAACTACAAATATACTGTCAACCTATCGAGAACAACATGTCAACTGATACATTATTAATTCTCTGTCAAATTAGCTTCAGATGTAAATTAATATCTGAAAACAAGCCATGATGGATACAGAAATCCTAGATTTTTAACTGTGGCTGCAGCTAGAAATAAATATCATCAATGTATAAACTAAGTTCACATAATTGTTGTATTGGATTTATAATGTTAAATAACATCCACTTTTGACATCATAATTTGCATGTATATTTAACAGATTATGGGGCAAATAGCTGCTAATAAACATGTTTGATAAATTCTAACAGTCTCATCATTTGCAGGCTTTTTCTTTAATATCCATGCATGTGTTTGATACATTTTACCAATAATTCCATGAATAACTTTGATGATAAATATACTTAATAATTCCAATTTAACACATTAATATCTGAAAGAATTTATTTCTAGTTAAACAGGATTTATCAGTTGTTATAAATAGTAACAATAAGTTGTTCTATGACTGGAGACTATAATAAATATGTCTATTGTCTGTCTCATGTTCATTATTTCTTAGATCAAAGAGTTTGTTTTAGGAACTCTCTATCTATATTTCACCTAGGCATCATAATTAGGATTCTTATTTTAAGGTATGTTAAATGTTCTTCACAGTCATTTACATTCATTTATATCAGATGTAATTGAACATGGTTGCTTAAGAAATACACGATATTGTTTATAACACAGAAACGTTACCGCTTTTTAATTGCAGAATATGATATAAGTTTATACTTGTATCTGCTGAAGTTCTTGTTCTCTGACCAAATTTCATATTTCCCTCCATTTCCATGGACAAGATTCTCAAAAAACTTTGCAGATAATTGTCATAAGGTGTTTTGAAAAACGCAGCCCAGAACTGAACTATGCTGAATCTCGCCTTATTTTGTGGGATATCAATTCTATTCCTTAGTCTGTTTCTTATACATTTTACAAACAGCACTACATTATATGATTTAAATTAAAATATATTCAATGCTCTGATAATCTACTTACATTGATATTTGAACACAGAAAATTGTAATGTTTAAGTTTACTACATTTATATATACAAGTGTCTGATAGTGTTCACAATATGACCAGAATAGAAGCATTTTCACAGCAAATTGTGTATCATTTATTTAAGAACGGAAAAGCATATCTTTTGTGTTTCAAAGCCTGTTAAGCCTGCTTTCAATATAACAAGACATTTGTATACCAAGGTATTGTCTTATGTAATTGAAACAGGCAAAACCTGCTCAAAAACTAGCATGAGAGTGAGTCTTTCCTGTATATTATAAATAATACATTATACACAATCTATAATTGTTGCCAGTAAATTCTTAACAATATGATATAATTTATAAAATGCATTTGTGTACCTAAAAAAAAAAACCTGATTTAAAATATAAAACTTATTAAATAGACATTATTTTGATTTAAACTGATATTAAAAAATATCACGTAAGATTGTATGAGGTAAAAAAAAAATTCATGTTAATTGTTTGCAATGGGAGACACACAAAGATGTTTGTTCTAAAATAATTTTTCTTCAAATTTTATAAAACATTATTCTTAAAAACTTACAAATATGTTAAAAATTTTGTAACATTAAACTCCAATATATATGAAAATTTAACCAAAAGAAAAACTACTTTAAATTCAACAACTCAAAGAACGGAAGACAAAAAAAATGTTTAAAGACTAGCGTAAAAGAAATTATTTTTCATGCGTATTATATCCAATTGTCACAATATTATGTTCTGTAACTGATATCAAAATTGCATGCAGAATTTTGACAGATACATCAACATTTTTATTATAACACAAACAACTGGTTCATTATACAAATTATTTTGTACAGTTTGAAATTATTTGTGTATTAAGTAAATAAAAACAATAATACAATATATATAAATATATACAGACTGTAAGTATAATGAAGGAAAACATAAGGGATATTTATATTATATCATATAAGTAATTGTATTTTCAATCAAATTAGATGATAATCAAATAATAATGGGTCAATTAAATAATTTGCCTTTTAAAAAATGACGTGAAATCAAACACAAATCAGAGTCAAAATTCATAAAAATTCTGTTGTTAGAATTTCTATAAGAAGCTTGAATTGCAAAATTTGTTTGAATAATATTACACCCAATACACTGATTTCAGAGGTTAACTTGGACTAAATTGTTTTAACCTATGTAGTCAACTTTATTATATTGAATAGTATATATAAATACATTAAATAATGACCTATTCAAAATGGGTATATATGTAAATATAGTAGTTAACTTGGTACAAACATGGGGAGTTCAACATTTAGCACATACCCCCTGAGGTAAGATGTTATATTCAACCTATTCTAACTTTCTTGTGGGATTTTAGTATGTCACAAGGCAGTATCTCAAACTTTTCTTTCCTGAAATGCTGTCTTGTGTTTAAAAATTTGAGACATTGCCTTGTACTGGTATTTCTAGATAACAGAAAGACTAATGACTAATCTTGATTGAAGATTCAACTAATCTTTACAGTGGGATTGAATATTTGACTAATCTTTACAGTGGGATTGAATATTCGACTAATCTTTACAGTGGGATTAAAGATTTGACTAATATTAAAGATTAGACTAATCTTTACAGTGGGATTGGTTACACTATGTGTATATACTCTGTCCGTTAAGTTTCCATTCACAGTTTATAAATAAAACATTATCTATACAAATAAAAAATAGTCACACAGAATACAAGAGGCTAGACATTAAAGTAAGTTTGTTTCTAGTCCTTTGTATTTTATCCAATATCATTACACATAATCTGCTAGTAAAATATATATACACATCCTTGCTGTAACTCCACACACTAATCCACAAATATCCATCCATTATAGTTTGTGGAATCAACTTGTCCAGCCTAAAGCACCATATTTAAAACATTTTGGATACAGGCACAGTGAAGTTAGTCTTTAAGATGAATATTGCTCATTATCATTTAAAATAGTTTGAGTATATTCTAAAAGTATCTTCTCTTTATTAAAATATTTTTGGCAAAATCTATCAGTAATTTGCCAATTCTAGTTTAGTTGCCCTTTTATGATAATAAAAAACGTCATTAATAACTCAATGCGTAATGCTGAATCACTTTTCATTTCTGGCAAAAAAACCCTTTGGTTTAAAATTTGTGTTAAAATTGCATTGACATAACACTTCCTCGTTCCATAAGTTAAAACAGGTATAATTAACTTCTTGTGACTAACTGAGAGACTATAAATACAATAGAGCAGAAGAGATAAGATATTGTAATAGATGGCGCTGCTGAATTAGGTTTGGTAGGACGCTCGGTAGGACGTGGACGATTTTTGTCAGGATGATGTCTGTTTCTGTTTTTATCTTTGCCTGAATTGTCTGTATTATATGTGGGATTATTACTATCTATATCTATATTATCGTTGGTAGAATCAATATATCCTACTCCTGAGCCACTGCTTTCGGTATCATCTATCTCATCACCACCACTACCACTTCCACTATAGCCATCAATTTCTAAAATAATAAACATAAACATGTGTTACAAATATTTAAAACATCAACATCAATAAAAGAGAGTCATAGCCCAAGTTTGACTGAAATAAATCACAACAGAGTTGTTTCCCTTCATTCAAGTCAGGAATATGCATATAGCTCAAAAGGTCTGGTTCTGTCTGCTCTGTCTTCTAAAGCCTGTGATACCAGTTTCTTCTACAAGCAGAAGAAGTCATCTACCAACATACCAAGTTCAGTCTGTATTTTGATTATAATCCAAAAAGGACAAAATGCTGCATGTATGGATAATAAATTTTGCATTAGATTTAACACCATTAACAAACCATTTTAAAGAAACACTTTAGAATAAAGTGGAGTGAGCCAAACCTATAATCAAAGAAAAAATAGTGGATGGAAAATGGTAAACATGTAACAATCTTACCTGTATCAATCCAATCAACATCTAGACCATTATAAGCATTATGTAATCTACTAGTAATAAGTTTTAATTGTATAACTTGTCTACTAACAACACTATTAGCTCTAGTTACATCAACCTCTACTTCTGGATTATTTATCTGATTATAAACACCATCCTTCTGTACATCAGGTATATATCTATACAATATAAACATACATTCATTAGTTTTAACTCAATAAGAAAGAAAGAAAGAAAAAACTATATTTGACAAGGATAACAACTTAGGTTCACAGTTAAGGATCCTTTCTACCAGCTGGTCCTTGGAAAAACCTCTTGATAATGCCGCTGTCAAGGTAAAATTCACCTCTGTAAACTACATGGTATTGCAGATAAGGGCAGAAAAGTAGGGCATTAAACACCATTTGCTTTCAGTAGTCTTTCAAATGTAAAATTTCAGACTTATGTTTTTTAATTTCTAAAACCAGTAAACTCTAGTACAAATTTTGATCTTAGACCACCCTGTTTATATAAGTGGTTGTCAGCAAGTTAAATATACATTTACTAGTAATATATTAATAGCTATAAATTAACTTATATCATTAACACAATATTTATCATAAAATACATTTGAAATTTTATCAGAATGTCAAAATAATTAGAAGATTTCTTCATATTATATCATCACATAGTCTTTCAAAGTCAAAGTTGCTACATGTGTGATCAACAAAATATTAGAATACATGATTATATATATACATGTAGAATATTTCCACTGTAAGTCAATAATTAAGATAATCTGACATTTGTAACTCAATTGATCAGCCTGGCTAGTTTATTATAGACCATTGAGGGTAAATCAAAAAGTTCATTGCCATAGCAAGGTTTACTGTTCCAATATTTTCTAAATTAACCATGAACCCTGAAAAATGACCTTTCTTATCCTAAGGCCCATATTTGACAGATAGATTTTGAAGAAATTTCATACAGCAGTGTTACACCTGAATGACGATGGGGTTGTTATTCAAATGCAAGTTCAACTTTTGCAGCAATTGTGTCCTAAAATGTGTAGACATGAAGGAGAGGCACTATACACTACTGTATGAAATTTCTCCAAAATCTCTCAGAAGATTGGTGTCAAATTTGGACCCTAAGTTTAGATAGGTGAATTCATTGGTCATGGTGAATTCAGAACATTGCTGAAGGTAAGGTCCCCTGAAATCTTGAGCATAAGATTAATCATTCTTTCAGTTTAGAAACAGTTTGTTAATGTACATGTTACTATACTCAGAGGTGAAGATAAGACCAAAATTAAATGCAAAATTTGTGTTCACACAAAGATTTCTTTTTAAAGATTTTTAGATGGAATATCATATGTGCATTTGAGTTCAAATTCATTAAAGTAAAGTCTACACTAGAAGCATTGTGTTAATGTTGGAATGATGGTTAAAAAATACTAACTCCCAACTGTTTTAAATACTTTCACATATGTTTGCACCAATTATATTATAAAGGTTGTTTATGTTCTTACTCTTAATATGAATAGTAAACTCATTGTACCATACACAAACTGTCACTGAATTAATTTGGCTCAACAGAAAGTCTCATGATCAACTATAAAAGCCATATCATCAAAGACACTAGGCTTTAGATGAATATTTAGATCAAGATGGTAATTCAGATCAAGATTGAAATTCGAGATAGGAATTCAGGTCAAGATAGGAATTCAGGTCAAGATGGTAATTCAGATCAAGATAGTAATTCAGATCAGGATATCAAGATGGTAATTCAGATCAAGATGGTAATTCAGCTCAAGATATAAAGATGGTAATTCAGCTCAAGATGTAAAGATGGTAATTCAGCTCAAGATATAAAGATGGTAATTCAGCTCAAGATATAATGATGGTAATTCAGATCAAGATAAAAAGACGGTAATACAGATCAAATATAAAGATGGCTAGTCATTTCAAGATCAAGATAAACATTCAGATCAGGACATCAAGGAAAATTCAGATTAAGATATCAAGGAAATATTTAGATCAAAATGACAAAAGGAAAATTTAAATCAAGATAGCCAGAAAAATTCAATGTAGTAATTAAGATAAAGGAAATCAAAAGGACAATATGTGAAATTCTGATGGAGGTGTGAGTTCCAGGACAAGTATTTCAAAGTCAAATGTAAAATTATATGAAGATTTATACCTAGCCCTGTCTTGTCCATTCCAACAATCTTCTTCATTACCAGGTCCTGCGGCCATATCTTCATTATTACATAATGTATATGGTAATAGATGCCAGAAATCCTTGGCTGTTTTTACTTTTTCTCTTATATCCTTAACCAGTCTATCTAAATTGGTTCCTGCAGCTGTAGTTGGTTTAGGCTGTTTCTTTGGTCTTTCGAAATTAAATTCATATTCTTGTGTCTCTCTCTTCTTTCTGCCAAGTCTGGGTGTACCACAGCCAGCAAATATCTGAAATAATAACAGTTTTATTTCATTTATAAACCTGTGTTTAAGCCATTCTATAATCTTTCTGTAAGGTTACAGAAATGTGAAAGAAGGTTTATTACTTGGCAGCCTAGAGGTCAAGGGCTTTATCCTGTCAGAGGTCAATTTGATAACTTTGCATTTTTTCATTCAGCATATTAAAGATCCCAGGACAATTATAATGTGGAGACAACTCATGTATATCCTTTGGCAAATATCAATGACCTGTAAATGCAATCTCAATTACATTAGGCCTCCCATAAACTAACTAAATTTCAACTTATTTTATGTAATTTTAATGTTTACAGCTTGATTGATTTTTCAACCACTGAACATTGTAGAAATATTTTTTACATTTTACAAGAAATCGGTACAAAACTGACGTAACAAATTTTACACAACAAAACACATCAATCTGACGTGTATAGATTTTAAATTTTATCTTCTCTCTAATTCTATATGAGCCAATGAACAAAACGAATAAACTGGCATGTAATTTTCGTCCACTTGAATATTTATACAACAATCATCTATATTACTGGGAGAAATTTGAGAAGATTCCATGTCAATCTACCAGCATTCCTTGTATTAAAAAATATCAAGTTCCCATGAAGCTTGAAGTTGAGTCGACATGATTTATAACTACTTGTTATTCTGTGCAATGGTATGGAAAAACTATTCATTATATACTTGTCTTGTGTGATAAAACTCTTTACACCCCAACCACATGTTTACTGAATAAGATTTACTTTCAACAATACATGAATGAAAATTTCCATTGCAAAATGATGCCATGCCAATTTCAATCGATGAATAAACTGATATTTTCCATAAACATTATCACAAAGAGAATATTGCTGACGGCATGTTTCATTATCGAAATAGCAAATTTAATTGAAAGTTTATTTCTTGCCACATTCCTGTATTTTTGAAACCATCTTTCATAATATCAAAAAAGTTCTACATAAGATAACTTTCAATTCATGGTAGTCCAGAGGATGCAAGCGGAACTAAGAAGAATGCAGCACCACCCCTTAGTACATGATACCTTGACAGTGAAATAAAGGTAAGTTATATGTAGATCCCACATCTACTGTGTAAAAGACCCTTTATAACTATTCAAAGGGGTGTTCTCCAAATGTTACAAAGGGTATCAAATTATAGAGTCAGGTTTTAATCTTCAAAACTCATTCTTAACCATGATTATTACATACTTTGAGATAATTTGAGATATTTCATCATAATATAGGTCTTGTATCACTGGTTACAAAGTTACTCTTTCGAGGTTATATTACATTTCTAGTCAGATTTTACTTTTTACATTCAAAAATTAAGAAATCGAAAGTACAAATTTGCAAGTCTTCACAAATTTTGATTGCAATTTTCCAAAAGTAAGGCGTTGGACAAATGTGGTTATAAAGATATGAATGTTTCCAGTTATTTTCTACTGTAGTGCAGCAGTACAATTAGTTTTATTAAGATTTATTGAGAAAGATGATACACATGGTGGAATAAATCACTACACTAGACTGTAGAAAGGAAGTATGGATGACTTACAATGCCATAATCTAATTTATCATACCACATTGTCTGTAAACTGTTTTCTTTAATAACAAACATTAGGATGCCCAACCCAAACCCAGTTACAGGCAGAAAAGAGGCAGGATAATTGCTATTAAAATTACATTATTAATTATGGTCAACAGGCAAGACTCTAAACAAAATTCTGTCTTAGACTTCTCATGTAATAAAACATGAAATTATAATGTTTTTATAAAATGTTCAGATCCTTGGTCATCAAAAGTTATAACAGAAACAACAGAAACAATCATTAAAATATCTTCAAATTCAAAATACATCAGACATTAATAGAAACTCAGTAACATTGTCAGTCACAATTTTAGAATTGTTATAGCCTACATTCTAACAGAAAGAAAATAGAATGATTCCAAAAATATGAAGCACAGAGTTGGCAGAAAGGCGGTGGTGTCTGAAAATGAGATTATTGGAAGAACAACATGTTTATGGGAGACATGATTAGTCTAGTATTATTTGTTTAACCCTGTGTTTCATTTTCTACAAAAACCTGGTAACAATTTCAATATTAGCAAATAACTTTCTAGTTTTCTTACGATTTATTAGGTCATTTAGGTTTCAACGGAAACCACACAATCTGGTCAATATTAGCAGCCATCTTGTGAAAAGATTAACCACCAGTAAAGAATAATTTGTGAGTCAGAGGTTCATGCCTGAGGGCAGGTTGAAGAAATCTGGTACAAATTGAGAAGCAATCAACCTGCAGTTAGTTCTTCCTTTCAGCTCAGTACTGATTTGGTACTTGAATGACAAGAATAATTGCTACATTCACTATTTCATGTAAAAATGTAAAAAAGTTTCAGGATACAATGAAGCCAGTATAAATCTGTAATAATTTCAAATTTCTAGACACATTCTTATTAAATACAGATGCCAACCATTGATTATAACAATTTGTTCATAATTACATATTTATATAATAATATGTGTCTATACACCTACGTCTGAGCTACTCTCAAAAGCAGAGAAATCTTTCTTAAATCTAAGGCACTCATGATAATCATCCAATAAAAAACCTGCACACTAATGATTGCTTTCTTCTTTGATGACCAAATTTTGAGACAAAAAACTGGTCTCCCAATTTCTTGATCAACAGTTAAAAACTGTTAAAAAATTTTATTTTAAAATGATGAATCAGAGATTAAGGTAATTGAAATGTGCTGGAGGCGCCAGCTTCAATCCCTTGGTTTAGAAGGGATATGTTAAGGTTATTTTAGCCTGATTATTTTTACACTCCAGACACACAGAGCCAAAATACTGGCTATTTATTTAGACTTCTAGTGTGTGTATTTTAGTTTGCCCTGTTGTCTTCAATGGTGTAATAGCTAATAATTTGGCATACCAACAAAATGACTGTGTTTATTTTCAAAGGTACTGTTGTAATAACAACTTATTGACATTCCAAATACCATTTTCTTCTAACCACCAAAATTTATGAGTAATCAAATGCTGTTCATTGCACAAAATTCTGAACATAAAAAATCTCTAGATATTATTAAAGGGATTGTAGAGAGGTTTTCTTAAAATTTCATTTGTATAGAGACACTGATAGCATCGATTTGTACCATTCCAATTTCTAATCAGATGCTTATATATCAATATCAGCTTTTGCGATAGTGATGTCATAAAATGCTTACTTTTAGTAACGCAAGAGCCAGATGGTATCAGTGTCCCTGATACACATAAAATTTTCAGAAAATCTCTTTATAATCCCTTCAAGTAGCTCTGATGTATGTGGAATATGCTTACATCCATATCTCTGAATCTAATGTCATGTTCAAACTTTCCCTAGTAAAAACAGCTCATTAAAACACACAGACTGGGCAATGAGATATATTTGGACTTGTGAAGTTTGTGTAGTTGATAAGGACAAGAATGTGTTTAACTACCAGAGAAAAAAAAACCTCTCATCTAAAGATTGAATGTTTACTAGGCATGATGTGTAATAGTTAAAATGGCCAACATCACAAGATTTACTTGAATGGCGAGAATGTCAAGATTTCTGCCTAACTAAAGTTGAATGAATGGCTGACCAATCTAAACAAATCGAAAACTAATTCACCAACATGGATTCTGGAGATTATCCAAAATGTCTGCCACTCCCCCTACACAACACATTCTGTAAATATCTGAATGGCTTTTATACAGAAACCAAATACAGTCATCAGACAATAACACAATATATCTGGGTGTTTTTCAACAAAATATTTTACAAACGTTAGCTATATTTTACAAAAGATAAAAGGGTACATGTTATGTCTAATGTTTGAAAAATTTGAACAAAATAATTTATTGTAAAATTTGTCCTGAAAACAAGGTCACATTGCAATGAAATGTACACAAATAAGTGCAAGTTTCTTATCACCAATAAATCAGAATGAAATTAAAAGCTTGTGAGAAATTTTACATTGCACTAAATAATATTCAAGTCAGTCTGACATTGCCAAGTCTTCTGTGATTCTGTCAAAACCTCAGAGAATGATTCAGGGTCAAGAAAGTTTAATATCAGATATCTCATTTCATACAATATTATCTTTACAATATTCTTATAATTGAACTCTTCATTATTTAATTCAATAAACATGCATTCTAGCAGGTGGTCAACATTTTACCCCTATTTTCTCCTCTAATGAGTTTATTTACTTCAAATTTCCCACCAAGACACATTACCATTTTTTGTTTAAAACTCATTTCAACTGATGTTTGTTCTGTTATTTAATATCATGCAAATTACTGTCTACAACAGAAAAAAAACCCACAGCATTTTCTCATTTCTACCACTGTTTGAGAAAAACGAATTCTTTGAGATCGCATTTCAAGAAATGTTGAAAGAGGCATCAGAAGAAATAAATGATAGAAGTGCAGTATATAGATATATATTGGTGGCCTGGTGCAGTCTCTGTCTAGTGAATGGTGGTATAGAAGAAGTGAGGGTAAGCAAACAATGTGGATTTGTTTAGAGAGTAAACGTGAAAATTTCCCCTACTAAATCTCAAATTACTCTCCAACTAGACATTTATTTCTCATTGTCTGCTGGCTAACTGTCACCTCCAAACTATTTCAAACTTGATCGAACAAAATCCACCCACTTAGTTCACCATTTTTATTTCTTCAATATTTGAATTAGTCATTGACAAAAGTCATGTTATCCCATACTTTAAGAGTTCAGCAAAAATGTCAAAGCCACAATTATCGTGACACAAGATAAAAAAAATTATTTCACTGAAAATCAATGGCTAATTTCAATTCCAGAAAAATTCTATATTGAATGTCACAGACTTTGAAATCTTATTGGCAGAATTTGATCAGATATGATCCAATCAAATTGAAAGATGAGTCATTTCGGCCAACGTATTAAATATTCATTGAAAAAAATACGATTTCCCCTAAAATATTTAAATTGAAATAAAAATTGAAATCTGTTAAAATCTCTTTATCTTGGGCAGTTTTTTTTAAGTAATTAAGCTACTATTCTTATTATTTTGTTTTCTTAAGAAAATAGTTCTAGTCTTAGCAAAGATATGTGTACAGAGACATGCAATCTAACCTTTTTTTCAAGTCATAATCAGCATAATATAGGTTTGGCTTGTATAGTTTCTTTGAATGTTTATTTTTGCCTCCCTGCACCCCTCTTTACTTTTTTTGCAAGTTTGTATTTTAAAATGACAGCCATTTTGCACTAATCCAATGTTTTTATATTTATTTAACAATATCTACTCATGATTAGTAACTTAATCCTTACTATCATCACCTCCGAAGCTACATCGATTACAGAGGTAAACCAGGTAGATTAAATACAAAGGTGTAATCTCGATCTATGCAAGAATTGAGCACCCTACCTCTAGCATAGATGAGTCACCACAGCTCCTTGTCTCATATATCAGCATTTAATGTGCTTACGCAATTTGCAATTTGATAACGCAGTCCTTACTGACCTTACAATGTTGCTGTAAATGTCTACATCATGACAGTATAAAATGTCAACAATGTCTGCAATCTAACTAATCATGTCAACAATTAATATTCACACGTCTGCAATGCCAATACCATAAAAGGAAGATTGTCTATAAACTGAGTGCTTCTCTGCCTAAGTTTTGTTGAACTGACAGATTAATATAAAACATATTTTAAACAGTCTAGCATAATGCTTATTTAAACCGGAACTTAAGCCATTAAATTGCAGACATCATTTATTATACAACTCTTATCAAAAACCTTTTAAAATCTTAGTGTAACTCTTCAAATAAAAAGTCTGAAAGAAACTACATGGTGATGGTTTGAAAATAAGAGTAAGTTTTAAAAGCTTTATTGAATAGTTCCCTTGCAGGCATTAAAGACAATTTCTATAAACATCCAGTCTCAAACAATCCCTGTATTGTATTCAATTATAAACAGAATGTCTCCTATATCAAGGAAATTGCAATTTAAGACATAAAAATGTTGGCTAAAAATTGTTCTAGCAACTTGTATTACAGGAAGATTGGGCATTTCAAAAATTAATTTAGACTAAATTAAACTGAAAAAAATTGCAGGATAAAGGGTATCATGTAGATGGTGTACTTTATGAGCTGAAGGCATTAGAGTTGAATTTTCCAATTACCGGTACACTGGTTGGAATTAGAATTTTTAAATTTTTAATTCTTTCAGAGTCAGCCATAACCTTTTAAGAACAGAAAATTACTTGTTTTATCCCTTTTGAGGTAGATTTGTTCATTAATATGTATGGTGTAACTCCCAACTGAATTGAATAATGTGGACAAAGTGGTCGATTATTTAAGGTTTTGTTATTCACCATGTACACAAACCAACCTATATTTGTTTTACGCCAGACATTTATACCAGTGTTAGAAAAAGGTTTGTTTGTGATAGAGGTGTTAGGACAAAGATTATAAACCATATAAGTCTTTATGTGAACTATTTCAAATTTCTCCAGCATTTCTTTTTTGAAAAGAAAGCACATAATATATCATTGAGTTGTATCTGGGAATGGCAAAAACTATATGTAAACTACAACAGAATCCATCGAGAATAAAGTATTTACATGATTGAATTCATTGTCAATTCGACGCCAAACCAGAAAAATTGTCAATATATCTGCATTGAGTTTCAGAGTTCCAATCAAAAATCTTATCATAATTTCTTCATATAAGTTGATCAGTGTTAATAATATACCATTCTTCACCTTTGTTCAGATAATCAACTTGGCATCCCTTTTAGAAATTGTTACTCTATACCACTAAATGAACATGTAGAAAGAACAGCAGAATCTTTGTTCCAAAATTGGTAAAAAATAAAAAATAGCTGACAATGTTTGTATAAGACGTATATTATGTCTAGCTATGATAGTGTGACAATTGATATGACAATGTTAAAACATGATCATTCTGAGTTTTACAACATGATTGGCTCGTGTTTGACAATTTCCCTCACCTCTCTGTGAAAATTGATTTTACATGTTAACTCATTGACATAATATTGTTGAAAAGAAGTCAAACATGCCACAAAATAGTTTCAACAACAGAATGAGGTGCAAGAGACCAAAGGTTAGGGTGAGAAATTCCAGCAAAATCCAAACTTTGTCATTGATTACTGACATTCGAACTGAAACATGATTTTCAGCAACTAAATGTGGTCTAAAACACAGGAAGCCAGAAAATTTTTTATATACTATCTTTTCTATGCTTTGCCTTCTGCACAGCAAAATTCAATGTTCGAATACATTCAGCATTCATATCTACAGATGTGCTATATGTCAAGCAGAACACACCAAAGAAGAGTTATAGTGGAGCATGAAAGGACCCTGAACATCTTATTTGTTGCTTGATGATCTATCAATGCATATGATGATCATCTCCATCTTTGTATATTGGTCATATTATAGTACCAAAACAAATATTTGAAATAAATACATCCTGCAAGAAGGTAATCTTGTAATACATAAGGAAACACATGGAACCCTCTAATAATGCATGACTAATAAATGGGACCAAAATCAGCCTTCATATTTCTACACAGTATTAAATTACAAAATTTTCTACAAACAATAGTCCAAAATACCAAGTCCTAAAAGAACAATAAAAGAGATAGTACTGGTACTTTTGAAACAAAAGAAGTCAGAAAAAGTTAAAATGTTAATAAATCAAATTAATAATACCTTGTCACATTTCATAATGGTATTAATTAAGGGAAAGGACTGGAGAATACCCAAGGGAGTTAACTGTCTTAAACAATGCTTAGTTCATCTCTTAGTGTAGTTATGAATGTTTAATGAAGTTTTCTGCCTGGTCAGACAATACTAGAATAGTATCCGTACCCTATTGGTTTGTGGCTGTACTATAGAGATGTGCATTTCACAATGCTGAGCATATTCAATACAAACACTATTTTCTAAATATTATTTAAACAATAAAAAGAGTGTTTCGAATGGATTTGAAACTTCATAGATCTATTTTGTTCCTGTTTTTAGTATAGTTATAAACAAAAATCTATGGCTATGTTATGAATGTTTGATGAAGTTTTCTGTCTGATCAGAGTAGAATACAATCAATTTTAGGTTGTAACATTGCAGTTAAGTAAGTAGTGTTACGAAAGCACAGGCACAGGCATGCAGGCTTAACGGGCTTGTGGCTGTTTTATAGAGATGGGCATTCCTCAATGATGAGCATTATTCTATTGAATATATCTTCAATCCATGAGCATATTTGTCAAATGGTATTGAAGATTATTTTTAATGGATTTCAAATTTCATGGAACTATTTTACTTCAGATTTTAGAAGAGTTTTGTACAAAAAAAATTAAGGATGAACAAAATTTTAGCCTGAGCTATAACTTGTATTTACAATTTCTTTCAAACATGTTGAAATAAAATTGAATGGTTGCACATCTCTAAAATTAGTAACCAAGTGTCTGTTCATTGGTAGTTAAAATGGTACTAACTTGATTAGTTAACACAACAAAGGACTAATTTGGTCAAATCAAGTGAACTATAAGAACTTGAAAACACTAATCACTGAGAGAACACTAATTAAGATACCACACAAACTATGAGTCCAACTTTTACGAAATAACTTTTTATTTTTAAAAATCAGCGCGAGGATTTAAAATATTTATTAATTTATATGTTAATAGGTTAAATCAAAGCCATATTATTCTTTAAACA